GGTCGAGCAGGCTGCTTCATGCGCGTTCACGCTCAGGCATCGCCCGTAGCATTTGCTATCCGTAGCTTTAGCAGCAGAGAGAGAGGCAGTGCCACTTTGTCGCTGTTCCTAACGCCTAGTGATGAACCTAGCTACATTTCTGAGGACCCTTAGCTACATTCTTCTAGATATTTTCTGCAAATTAGCAACAAAATAGCCATTTTCGCTCCGAACCGTTCTTTGGTTTGACGTTGTTTCAGCTGTCATCAAGGATATAAATGTTACAGATACCGTGAACGTTACTAGAGTGTAGCTCACCTCGTAAGACGTCGGACTCCCATGCAGAAGACCTGTGTTTGATTCTGGATGTGAACATAGTTCATTTAGTTTTTTTTTTTTTTTTTGGTATGATCTGAGCATGCAGGAGGACTGACCCATCATAAACCTTTGTCGGCTGTGCTGAAGAGAAAGGTACAGAACCAAATTATTTAACTAATTAGCTGCGCGTTCTCCTGTCCTCTGTTCCCCCCCCCCCCCCCCCCCCCACACACACACACACACACAAAAGGGACTGTCTCAGCTGTTATTTTTGTTAAGGAGTGTGCACGTACAGCATGCGCGCCTCGTGCACGAGCCTACTATTGAAGCTGCAGTTTCGCTTTTGGCCTGAGGGGGCAATCGTGAGCATAAAAATTCAAAACTCCGTAAAGTCCCTTTAAGCAGACAAAGTTTAATTGATTAATATTTTAAGTGATGTTTCAGTTGTTTGTCTAAGGACCCGATCTGCTGGTGACATTCAAAGTAGGCGGAGTCTCTACAAACAGGAAGAGGTTCTCTGGCCAGATCAGTAACTAATTAGTTGCTAATTTTTGGTATTTAAAATAACACTTAATATAGAAAGTCACACCAATGTGTTACGTAGTTTTATTAACAGTTTTTTTATTCTCTTCGTCACGTTATAACGAGAAAACTTGTGAAATATTGTTCTTACAATATGTTTATGTAAATGGTCTGTCTTTGATATAGTGCCTTTTATAGTCCTGGAACCCCCCAAGGCGCTTTATAACACAGCCATTCACACCCTGGTGGTGATGAGCTACGTTGTAGCCACATTTGCCACCAGTCTCCCTGACCACCACCAGCAGGCTAGGTGGGTTAAGTGTCTTGCCCAAGGACACGACAGTGACAGACCTGCAACCTTCTAATTACGCGGCCGCCTGTGCCACTGTCGCCCACTGTTTACATTTGTACGTCGTAAGAATGTGATCATTATATTATTAAGGCGATGGTTATCAGGTTCAGTAAAAACGCTGTTGTGACTTTTTTTTATGAGCCCGGTTGTTAAGTTTCAGCCAAATGCCAGAGTTACCACGCTGCTGCATCAATCTGCTTAATTGGGGAAACATAAATTTCAGGTGGAATGATGCTGCTACGTAGTATTTGTGACGTTATTTGGTTAAAACTGGAAGATCAAAGAGACTTT